AAGCAAAAAAGAGGAAGACAAAGTGAAAATTACCTGAACAGTCCTGCTCACGAACCTTTGCAAAATCCGGTACATCTCCGGCTCCCTTTTAAGGTATTCGAAAAGCACTTCGATTTCTTGATCCTCCATGGGAGCCGCAATTCTATAAAATTAGCAAACTTATCAAATATTCACTAAGTACAAAGACCGTAACTATTACGTAACTATTATTTACTTATACGTAACCATTATTTACTTATGGTAAAAGAACACATGATAAAAAAACACTGGTTTACATATTTTAATTTACCTACACATAATTCTATTTATGCTAATCATTAAATACCCCATACTTTCCCTGATAATTCTGACGCAACAAAAAGAAAAGAAAGTAGTGACGAAAATGAACATTCATAATAATAGTATTTCTCTGCAATCTTTCGCGCTCGAGAGTCTTTATCCTTTCGCGCTCATGAAGATTTTTTTTTTTTTTTTTTTCATCTAATATATGGAGACTGTTCCATCTTCGAATATTTCTTTGGTCTCTACTACATCTCGACCTAACATCTTTGTACTATGTATATTATCGTTCTTCTACATAAACTTTCTTTTTCTTCTCTCAATTATTTCTATTAACTAATGCAGATTTTTATTGATTTTCTTAGGAATGAATAGACAAATAAAGGTTACGTACAAATTACCACTTCTGATTTTTTCACAATTTAAAAAGATTTTTTTAGCAATTCATTCATGTTCTATACCTTGTATTTCTCATCGTCGTCAAAATTTTTTTTATCATTATGGCATCCACCAGGTACTGTATTGACCAAAAACAGTGCAGTTATAGGAGCTATTTACAAAAACACTTTTTGATTTACTAGCTAAACAGGATATAACTTTTCACCCTTTTTAGTTAAAATAAAATTAGTAAGAATTAAAATGCTTTTAACATTTAATTTATTATAACTTTTAATATCTGTCGAAATTTCTTAGGTAACCCTGTCTGGATTTGTGACTAAAAATAATTTTAATATTTAAAAAATATTTGAAATCAATTATAATTGCAGGTTTAATAAATTTCTGCAATGAAAGTTTGCTTTAAAGTTAACTTTTAAAATTTAGCATAAAATGTCAAAAATAGTAAATAGAATGTGAGCAGATCAACTTTAATGCAAATAAAAGTAATCAATTAAGTTCAATAAATGTTTATTTTTAGATGAAATATATTTTCCCGGTTTTATTTGAAACAGAATTAGTATTTATTTTATTAAAACTTTTAAAATCTGTCGAAATTTCTTAAGTAACCCTATCTAGAATTGTGACTAAAAATAATTTTAATGTTTAAAAAATATTTGAAATCAATTATAATTGCAGATTTAATAAATTTCTGCAATGAAAGTTTGCTTTAAAGTTAACTTTTAAAATTTAGCATAAAATGTCAAAAATAGTAAATAGAATGTGAGCAGATCAACTTTAATGCAAATAAAAGTAATCAATTAAGTTCAATAAATGTTTATTTTTAGATAAAATATATTTTTCCGGCATTGGCAGATTTTATTTGAAACAGAATTATTAAAAATTAAAACATTTCTAGTATTTATTTTATTAAAATTTTTAAAATCTGTCGAAATTTCTGTAGTAACCCAATCTGGATTTGTGACTGAAATTAATTATAATGTTTAAAAAATATTTGAAATCAATTATAATTGCAGATTTAATTAATTTCTGCAATGAAAGTTTGCTTTAAAGTTAACATAAAATGTCAAAAATAGTAAATAAAATGTCAGCAGATCAAGTTTAATGCAAATAAAAGTAATCAATTAAGTTCAATAAATGTTCATTTTTAGATAAAATGTATATTTCCAGCATTGGCAGATTTTAACTGAAACAGAATTAATTAAAACGTCTTTAATATTTAATTTTTTATACATTTTAAAATCTGTCGAAATTTCTTAAGTAATCCTATCTGGATTTGTGACTAAAATTAATTTTAATATTTAAAAAATATTTGAAATCAATTATAATTGCAGATTTAAATAATTTCTGCAATGAAAGTATGTTAAAACTTTTAAAACATTTTATTAAAACTTTTAAAATCTGTCGAAATTTCTTAAGTAACCCTATCTAGAATTGTGACTAAAATTAATTATAATGTTTAAAAAATATTTGAAATCAATTATAATTGCAGATTTAATTAATTTCTGCAATGAAAGTTTGCTTTAAAGTTAACTTTTAAAATTTAGCATAAAATGTCAAAAATAGTAATTAAAATGTCAGCAGATCAAGTATAATGCAAATAAAAGAATCAATTAAGTTCAGTAAATGTTTATTTTTAAATGAATTGCATTTTTCCAGCACAGGTAAATTTTATTTGAAACAGAATTAAACAAAATTAAAACATTTTTAGTATTTATTTTATTAAAACTTTTAATATCTGTCGAAATTTCTGTAGTAACCCAACCTGGATTTGTCACTGAAATTAATTTTAATAATTAAAAAATATTTGAAATCAATTGTAATTGCAGGTTTAATAAATTTCTGCAATGAAAGTTTGCTTTAAAGTTAACATTAACATAAAATAAACATAAAATGTCAAAAATAGTAAATAAAATGTCAGCAGATCAAGTTTAATGCAAATAAAAGTAATCAATTAAGTTCAATAAATGTTCATTTTTAGATAAAATGTATATTTCCAGCATTGGCAGATTTTAACTGAAACAGAATTAATTAAAATTAAAACGTCTTTAATATTTAATTTTTTATAAATTTTAAAATCTGTCGAAATTTCTTAAGTAATCCTATCTGGATTTGTGACTAAAATTAATTTTAATATTTAAAAAATATTTGAAATCAATTATAATTGCAGATTTAATTAATTTCTGCAATGAAAGTTTGCTTTAAAGTTAGAACTTTTAAAATGTTTTATTCTTGTCTAGGTACCGCATGAAATTTGTTGTGCCAAAATTATCTTTAGATTGTTTACTATCGTTTATTTGCATTTAAAAAAGCTAATTCTCTGATACGATTATCAAGAGTGGAGAAAATCAATGCTAATAAAAATCTCCGTTGACGGTATAAATGTTACTCTATTCCCTCATTTGTTTGTCTTCTTATTTATTCACCATCTTCAAAGCACATAAAGCGTTCTTTCTTATTGCGCCAAATAGTTAATTCCAGCCAGCTTGACAATGCATTTACAACGGAGATACCAACACCATGTACCACGTAAATCCGTCAGAAACCTTATAGGTATATTGCTACCAGATTCGTACACTAGGGTCATTATTATTATCTATGTTGCTGATATTCCTTCTGCATGACAATATCAGCTCAAATGCTACAACCATTATCACTCACAGATACTCACCTATGCTAACCTCAATTTTGCCATAATACCCGAGCACTAAAGACTCACCTACACCTTATATTATCAACAACCTCATATATGCAAGCCAGACCCATCACCAGGTATCCCTAACCCCTCTCTCTCCCCCGCCCCCTCCCCCTCAACGTACACACCTGGATGGACGCTTCCTTACAATACCATGACCTCTTAAGATTTTTATTGCACCAGCGTTATTAATTTACTACTTTCCATACAAACTTTTCCATTCTACTTATAAATGTTAATATATTTTATATATGTATTATTAAATAACGTTGACATTAGAGAATCACTTTACGCCACCACCGTTAATATACGGATTGGATAGAAGGATTCGAACCCTAGCACAGCGACACCGAAGACCGCTGCCTTATCACTTGGCTACGCCCACCCCAACATTATTCACTTCTGTAACAACATACTGTTACTCACCAATTAGTATGATTTATTTCTTCTATAGGTATTATTACAATAGCTTACACCATTTAGTATGATTTATTTCTTCTATAGGTATTATTAACAATAACTTACACCATTTGTTATTAAGGTTTACACTTTTTTTTTTTTGTATTTATTGCATGCATTTATTTTTTTCGTTGTTCTCACTCGTTTTTTATTAACTTTGTTTTTGCATGCATTTTTCGGTTAATTTTATTAACTGTGTGCTTTTTGTAACTTTATATTATTTGATGTTTTTTTATTAACATTGTTTTTGCATGCGTTTCTTGGCTAGTTTTATTAACATGCATGTATTTTGTGAACTTACTTACATAATTTATTATTAAGGCGTTTTTTCTTTTGTATTTATTGCATGCTTTTATTGGCTACACCTACTCCAACATCATTCACTTGTGTAACAACATACTATTACTCACCAATTAGTATGATTTGTTTCTTCTATAGGTATTATTACAATAGCTGGCTGATCATAAGAATGCATTGCTCAACTTTTTCAATAATTTTATCAATTTGATCGCTTCTGCTTTTCATAATTGCTATTACTTCACAACTACTATTAATTTCACCTTTTTATAGATAAAGAGAATTCACTTTAGGAAATATATTTTTTCTTTCTTCAGAAACATATATATATATATATATATATAGCTAATTTCTTTATTCTTTAATAATTCTTCAGGAATAGTTTTAGCCTCCCTCACATTCGAAAAAGTTGTATAAACTAAAACTAAACTGTTCATTAGAATCATCTACTATACATCACTTAGATTGAAAAATCTCTTAAGAAAAAATAGAAGAGAAATCCTGTTGTTTCACTATGTAACAATGAAATTTTGAAATTTTTTATTGTTAAATCCTTAATAGAAATACAAAAAAAGGATTTTACTCGATGAATAACAACGCAGAAACCAACAATTATCCCAGCAATTGCAGAAAAGAGTATTTATTAAATCTGTGGAGTTTTAGCTCTTTTTTTTTTTTTTATTTTATTTGCTAGTAGCTCACAGACTTTCATTTCTCTCCTTGGATTCTCAAAAATCTTAGCGCATTGTGTGTACGTATCACTGTGCAGCTCTGATGGCAGTACAAAATGCCCATGCAAAATACGCCTCAAATTCGTTTATTCTAACATCATTTTTGGATTTCACCCTTACATTCTTTATTAATCATTTGGGTATATCGTGTAAGTAGACAAAATTAGTCATCCCATAATGTACAGAGGAAAGTCATCGATCGATACGAGATAACTAATTACCATAATATAGCAGCGGCAGCAGCAGCATTCCATCGGTACTCCAGCATTGCCAGTTGCAGCGCCTATAGCTAAAAAAAATCATATGAACATTTGGCTGAAGGAAAATGTACTGCACCCACTCATTCATCTCTGCAATAAGCATTACTGTAATCAAAATAAACGTGGCACATTCATTCATATTGGTTTTTGTGCGTGCGTGCATATTGGTAAAATAAAAGACGACAACTTTTTTGACGCTTTTAGCTTATTTTACACGCAGTCTATGGTTACAAGCAGTGTTGCAATGAATGATTTAGAAAAAAAATGCAAGCGTTAATGCTGGCATGACTCACTTTAGTGTTTGAGTTGATGATATGCCCTTACAGCAGCACATAAATAAACAGCAGTAAATCAGAAATGCCTGCATGAAATTTGCAGACATTATGCAAGCAAAATACAACGAAAGACTATAAAATTCGCTGCCATCTTTAAATTCATGCAAAAAACACGTGATAAAAGACCATACATGGGGTGGAACAAACTTTAATAATCACTGAGCAAATTATAAGTAGCGTGTCAAAGAGTGCAGAGAATATCTAGTGTAATTTATCTTCTTTTGGTTTCCATTTTATTACTTTTTTTATAATTAAAATTGCTCATTCAAATAATACTGTGAGAAAAATTTTACCTCAAAACAAAGATCATCATTGCTCGAATATATTACTGTAAGCAAAATGCTGGATAGTTTTAAAATATTTGTACTTTTTTAATGAAGATTCAATTTTAATTCATATTTTACCTCAAAATCAAAAATAGTTGAAAATGACGCACAAACTTAACATTGGAAGACTAAAAGCTTAATTAATGAAATAATGTTTAATAAATATAAAATTTAAATAATAATTTTTATGAAAATTATACAATTTTTAAGAATTTTTGTATATTGACTATCAAATTGTAAAAACTATTAAAAAATATTAATTCATCAAAAAAATAGATAAATAGAACTTAGTTAATTGTTTGATATGCATTGTACGGGAACTGCTCGTATACAGTGTGGCCATCTAACAGCTTGAATAATATGATAAACTTTAGGCCCAGATTTAGACTTAGGATAAACTTAGGCTTAAGTTTTATTTCAAACTTTAAATTTTCACAAAAATCAATTTTTGTATATTAGACTAAAAGTTAAAATGTAGTATTATCAAATTTCATTTAAATTAACTATGAATACTATTGAAAATAGCAATTCATTTAAATATATATATATATATATATATATATATATATATATATATATATATATATATATATATAATTATCTTAATTGATTATTTTGCATGTATTGTACGGGAATTGATCATTAAGGTGTGGTCATTTGACAGTTCAAAATAATAAAATAAATAATTATATTTTGAGCAATATTGTAGCAGCGAAATTACTAAAATTTTAATTAGTCATAGTTTTAATTCATTTTTGCGAAATAAATTGATTTTTATTTCAAATGTAAATGTTGATTTTTATGTAAATTCAACAATTTATAAGAGTTTTTTTATAATAGACAAGGGAAAAAATTGTAGTATTATCAAATTTCATTTTAATTAAATGCTAAAACCATTAAAAAAAATAGATATTTTGAACTTAATTGATTAATTTATATGCCACCCTTTCAACGTTTCAAACTGCCTGCAGCAGAGGCCACACACTGAAAACAGAAATAGTAAGAAAATATTGTTGCACAAATTGTTCTTCGAGTATCGATATAGAATTTTGTAATCGTTTTGGTGCATTATAAAGGATGAAATTTTCGATGAAATCATATGATTTTATCAGTACGAAGTCAAAATATGATTATATTTCTTCTACAAATTGCGGCATATAATCATTTCTTAAGTTATTAAAATTATAACTTACCGATGTTCTTGTTTCCTTCTCCTTGTGCCCCGTGTATGGCTCTGCTTGCGGCACTATCAATTCTCTTGGGAGTTGCTCCGGAAGATCTTTTAAATCAGCTGGTTCGAACTTTTCCGGAGGTGCCGCAGCCATTGCTTCTTGCATGGCAGGAACCGGGATTCTGATTGTTCTCGTTCACCTGAAACAGTTTTGTATTTATTGCAAATTATTTGGCAGGTAAGTTGATATCTAGTTAGCAAATTAATACAATTGCTGTACAATTGCTGCTAAAACTTAAACTTACAGGACGAGTTTACGTACTGCCTCCACCGGTTCCTCGATCTTCATTGGTACCCCCGGTACCTCAGGCTCTTCTCCTTCTTCATCTTCTTCTGGCAGAGGGGTCCACTCTGCTTCTGATGGCCAGTTCTCGGCCTCATCATTTCCATTTTCAGGCAGAGTGCCCACTCTACCTCTTCTTTATTAAATTCAGGCTCCTGAGGTACCGGGTTCTCTTCCATTGCTAGCTGCCCTACCAGTTCCTCCAACCTCCACCCCGCCTCCGCCATCCTTTCTATGAGCGACTGTTGAAATTGAAAAAGCTATTTTTTACAGTCACTTTTTAAATTTGAGGCAGTGCAAAGTTTAGCAACTCTTTTTTCATACTGTATCAATTTATAAAAAAAAAAAAAAAAAAAAAAAAAAAAAATAATAATAATAATATAAAAAATAAAAGCAAAAAAGAAGACAAAGTGAAAATTACCTGAACAGTCCTGCTCACGAACCTTTGCAAAATCCGGTAGATCTCCGGCTCCCTTTTAAGGTATTCGAAAAGCACTTCGATTTCTTGATCCTCCATAGGAGCCGCAATTCTATAAAATTAGCAAACTTATCATTCATTAAGCACAAAGACCAGTGACGTAACTATTATTTACTTATGGTAAAAAAACACTGATTTACATATTTTAATTTACCTACACATAATTCCATTTATGCTAATCATTAAATATCCCATACTTTCCCTGATACTTTCTTTCAACCCATAATATCCCATACTTTCCCTGATACTCATAATTCTGACAGAACAAAAAGACAGGAAAATAGTGACGAAAATGAACATTCATGATAATAGTATTTCTCTGCAATCTTTCGCGCTCATGAAGATTTTCTTCTTTTTTTTTTTTTTCATCTAATATACGGAGACTGTTCCATCATTTTTTTCTTCGAATATTTCCTAATAATAAAAATTTAAATTTGAATTAAAATTTAATTTTAATTGCAAGAATGATTTATACCTATCACTATTTTAAAATTTAATTAATTTTGCTGCTGAAATGATGTTTAAAACTCAGTTATTAAAGTTGAATTTATTATTTAAGTTGAAAAATGACCACACCGAGTGTAATCAGTGACCATACAGAACATAGAAAATAATCAATTAAGTTCAAATTATGTCTTTTTTTTCTAATTAAATTATGTTTTTAAGTTTTTCAAACACTTAATTAAATTGAAATTTGCTAGAACCAGAACTTATTTTTAAGCTTTATATAAAGGAACTAATACAAATTGCAGCATTTTCCTAAAAATAAGAATTTAAATTTGTATTCAAATTTAATTTTAATTGCAAGAATGATTTATAAGTATCACTATTTTAAAATTACTTTTCATCCTTTTTAGTAAATATGAAATTAGTAAAAATTAAAATGTTTTTAATATTAATTTATAAAAACTTTTAAAAACTGTCGAAATTTCTTAAGTAATTCTATATAGAATTGTGACTAAAAATAATTTTAATATTTAAAAAATAATTGAAATCAATTATAATTGCAGATTTAATTAATTTCTGCAATGAAAGTTTGCTTCAAAGTTGACATAAAATGTCAAAAAAAGTCAAGCAGATCAAGTTTAATGCAAATAAAAGTAATCAATTAAGTTCAATAAATGTTTATTTTTAAATGAATTAGTAGTTCAAACACTTAATTAAATTGAAATTTGTTTGCTAGAACCAGAACTTATTTTTAAGTTTTATATAAAAGAACTAATACAAATTGCAGCATTTTCTTAATAATAAAAATTTAAATTTGAATTAAAATTTAATTTCAATTGAAAGAATGATTTATAACTATTTTAAAGTGATAGTTATAAATCATGACTTTGATGAACGGTGCAAATCGTATGAATAGTGTGAGCAGTGATATTAGCACCATCAATAATATCATCCTTATATCTTTCTCTCTCTTGACCCCAAGTTTGGTTTTTTTGATTAAACCAGCAACATTTATATGCATCTTATATTTATATGCAACATTTTATATGATATTTCGATCTTCCAGGAGCAGTTCTTCGATATTTCGATGTCCCAGGCGCGACATTCTTTTATTATTTTTTTCTTCCATTAATTCCATTCCTTTAGGCATATTATTTGAGTTTGGTGTAGGTGAAAAAGGTGGGAATAGAGATATTTGGAGGATTATGTTAGGAAGGCTATATAGATCGGTCGTGTATGTGTGTGTGTGTGTGTTTGTGTGTGTATGTGTATGTGTGTATGTGTATGTGTGTATGTGTGTGTATTTGTGTGTGTGTTTATGTTTATCGTCAGGATGAACTTAGCTGATGCGAAAAGGAGAAGGATGAAGGGTTACTGTACGTATTTTTCATCTGTCACCAACAAAATGACATACTCGTTTCGATTTTTTTCCATTTCTCTGTCACACACATACCTAACAAACATTTTAAGTGATGTCGTGTGTCTACCTCTTTAATAGGTTTTCTCATTCACTTTACGCATTGATTGCATCATCTCCTTTTGTTGAGGTATCCATGACCACAGATTTTATAAATAGCGACGTTTTTGAACATTTTTCACCTTCTTTACAATTTGAAAAATATCTTCAAAGATTTAAAAAAAAAAATTTTTTTTTTTAATTTGGTTATGATATTTTTAGGAAAAAAATAGAGGATATCGGCAGAATGACAGCATTATCACAGGAAGAGATCTTACAAAGTACACGTACAGTTTTACAGGGTTTGGAAGCACTGAAGGATGAGCATGAATCGATCAAGGTAAATAGACAAATATTCCGATGATTTTCTGAAAAAGCGATCTTAGAATTCGTTTACTTTTCTAAACAATAGTTAGCATTACAGGGTACATTGGTGAGTAGTATTCAAGGATTGCATGCTGATGAGTCGGCACTTATTGAGGAAAAGACACATATTGTGGACAAAAATTTGGAAATGTTACGCTTAGGCATCGAAGAAGCTCAGGTTAGAATTTAGTTTTTTTTTTTTAACAAAAAATAATATTTTTCTTTTTTATTCTTTATATCTACCAGCAGTAAGTCAGTAAAAGTTCGGGATTAATTTTATTAAAAATAATTTAGGTTATGATGGCATTAGCTGGTCATCTACAAACAGTAGAAGCCGAGAAACAGAAGTTGAAAGCGCAAGTACGAAGACTTTGTCAAGAGAATGCATGGCTTCGAGATGAATTAAATTCAACGCAGCAAAAGCTGCAAGCCACTGGACAGGTTTGTTGACATCGATTAAAGGACGAAAAAAAAAATTCCTTTTTTACGATTTTTTCTAATTTTTGAGCTTTTCTCTGGCAAATTTTTAACAATAATTAAATTACAGCAAGTAGCACAATTGGAAGAGGAAAAAAAGCACTTAGAATATATGAATTCGATCAAGAAATATGATGACCAACAGGTTACTGCATTTTGGTTTCTTATAATTTACGCAGCAATATTGAGTCTTCTATAAATAAGTATTAGAAAAGCATGTTATATGTTCGATATATAAAAATCTGTTAATATGATAGTCGTTTGTAAGCAATTATTTCTTTAGATAAATAGCTAAGAAATCAAGTTGATAAGTAATTTTGCTGATAATGCGGTATTCAGTAATGCAAGGAATTGGAAATTTTAAAAACTGCACAATGTTAAGCATTTAGCAAAATTTTGCTTTTAAAATGTTTCTTAGTTAGAAAATCCTTGAATCTGTGTTTAATGTTAAAAATATAATCTAAATTGTTAGATGAATTCAGGAAAATGACAAAACCATGGATCAGAACGACAATCGTAATGACAACACTCTTCAGGATTTAGGTTTTGGTCCAGAAGAAGACGAGGAAATAAGTGGTAATGCACATTTTTGTTATTTGCTTTCGTTACTAATCAATCCATTTAGTTATCAAGCTTTATCATTATTTTTTCACACATTCCTTATGAATACTTAGTTATACTCTGTATGCATTAGAAACTTACTAAAATTATGTCTTAATCTGATTTCCAGTTATACATTTTATTACTATTGTTTATAAGCTGTACTGTTATAATTTAGTTAATGAATAGAACAGCGATAGAATAAGTTGAGTTATAGGACACATGTCTGGGCAATTTGCACATCCCACACCTGCTCATTCGATGGCAGCAAGTGCATCTGCTGGCTATGAAATTCCAGCTCGTCTTCGAACTCTGCACAATTTGGTAGATATTTTTTAAATTAATTCCAACAGTTTTTCGAAATGATCATTGAGCTATTGATTTGCTAATAATTTTATAGGTAATACAATATGCATCACAAGGACGGTATGAAGTAGCAGTACCTCTTTGTAAGCAAGCTCTGGAAGATTTAGAGAAGACTAGTGGGCACGATCATCCAGATGTCGCAACTATGCTTAATATTCTAGCTCTTGTTTACCGGTAATTCTTTTAATTAGCAAAAGACAGGATGTTATTGACTATTAATATGGTTTTGGTTAAAATAATTATTTCCATTAAAGTTATTTGTGAAATAAAAACGTTTGAATTGTTTTCCCAGATTGATTTAGATTATTTCGCAAAAGATATCATGGGAAATATTTATAAGAATTTTAGATCTTAACATAAAAGTGCAGAATAAATGGTAGATAATTTTGAAAAGATGTATGTCTGTCTAATATTTTAATATATGTTTTCTCGTTATAACTAGATTCAATATTTTTCCTTTTTAGTGATCAAAACAAATATAAGGAGGCAGCTAACTTATTAAACGAAATGCTTCGTTTAGATGCTTCGTTTAGTAAGTTAGCTGCCTCCTTACATTACGTGAAAAATGTCTTGGTGAAAATCATCCCGCTGTTGCGGCAACACTCAATAATCTGGCAGTGTTATATGGGAAACGGGGTAAATATAAGGATGCAGAACCACTTTTTAAGAGAGCTTTGGAAATCCGAGAAAATGTTCGTTTTGTAATTGGGATTTCAAATTTTTTTTTTTCGAAAAAATCTAAGATTTCATCATAAATGTAGAACCTTTTTGCGAAATGCCAGGATGTGGCTAGTA